GAGTGATGGGGTCACAGCTGGAACCATCCCAGGCAGCAAGGTCAGCCATCTGATCGGTGATACAGACGGCGGCCTGACCGAGAACACTGTGGTTCTTCATAGAGCGTCCGCTGAAGCCGTGAGACATTGTTTTTTTTCGAGAAATGAACTAAAAGCAAACCAATCCACAGCTACATAATTACAATACTCTAGATAAGCTCTTCATCCCGGCTGTTCATAGCTGTCGCTCAGCTGAAATGGCCAAGAGACACTGCCGAGACACCGAGTAAATGCGAACCACGTTGAAGCGCTTGACACTGCGCAGCTCAATAAGTGAGCACACAAGCACGCTGTCCCAAAGCTTACATAATTACTCCTGAGAATGGGGCTAAAGCATCATGTATAATAGTAGATGTCATTGAATGTTTGGTATGTAGCCTTCTTTAGGAGTCTATTAGATGTACGAGGTCAAAGTGGACGATGTCGAGTCATCACATCGTCTTGGGCTATCGCCAATGATCATGTCCGACCATCTCACGATCACCAACGATCATGTCCGACCATCTCACGATCACCAACGATCATGTCCGACCACCTCACGATCACCAATGATCATGTCCGACCATCTCACGGTCACCAGTGATCATGTCCGACCATCTCACGATCACCAGTGATCATGTCCGACCATCTCACGATCACCAGTGATCATGTCCGACCATCTCACGATCACCAACGATCCTGTGTGACCATCAAACAGCCATCAATGACCATACCCGTCAAACCTGAAGCGTCATTAAGTGGAACCTAGCGATGTTGAGTCCCTGGTTAATCATCTTGACCAAAGTCTCGATGTCCCAATCAGAGGGACCCATAGTGCAGGTAAGAGTGGTCTTACGAGTGATGGGGTCACAGCTGGAACCATCCCAGGCAGCAAGGTCAGCCATCTGATCGGTGATACAGACGGCGGCTTGACCGAGCACACTGGTTCTCCCAGACCTTAGCGAAGCATCACGCTCACTACCCGAAGACCGTGACTAAGTCAACACACTTAAGATGAAATGCAAGGAACACGGAATCACCGAAATAATTGCCTTAAACAGGCAAAGCCCTCACGTGAGAGGAGCACAATTATTA